ACAGGGACTGTGGGGTTGTAGCTAAAACTGGAAGCCAGCTGAATGCTGTTTCTGACCATGAACTTGATCTGACTCAGCTGTGATATTTCCCCTGACAGTATTGTGGAAAGAAAGAAAATGGAAATTGTCTGAGAAGTGTAGACAGAAGAGAAGTTCAAAAGAGGAAGGTCACAGAAAGACTTCTCTCAGCCGCCTCCTCCTAATTCTCAGTAGTCCACACTCGGCCTGACAAAGCACCAACGAGCACTGTCCATCTAAGACTATTCCCTGAAGAGGTTAACTTCAAAAAGAAACCTCTCAGAAAATGCTAGAGGGAATGTGCAATCAATACGGCTTTTCTGCAAAATGACTGGAGAGCATGTACCTAGAATCCTTAAAAATGCAGCCCGCTTAGTTCAATAATTTCACTTCTGGGAATCTGCCACTTTTGAGAAACCAGCTGTGTATTACAAATCACGGGATAATATTCACATCAGAGTTTTGGAGACTGGTTGCACAACAATGTGAATGTACTTAACACCACTGAACTGTACATGAAAAAGGGTTAAGATGATAAGGTTTAGGTGTATTTTACCACAATTAAAAATTAAAAATTTATAGGCATTTAATGGCAAAACAAACCCAAAGCAAAATATCTTGGCTTACGCTAAAAACAAAGAAAAAAACAAAACAAAACCCTAATGCTCTGGAGCAGTAGATCAGTTGGATGGAGCATCGTCCTGATACACCAAGGTTGCAGGCTCAATCTCCAGTCAGGGCACATACAAGAATCAACCAATGAATGCATAATAAATAAGTAAATCAACAAATCAATTTTTTTTTCCTCTCTCCCCCCCTTCCTCTCTCTATCTCTAAAATCAATTTTAAAAATCCTAAAAAATAACAAATATCACAAAACTGGAAATTAGTTAAAATCAATTATGGAATATTAAAAAAATGGACATTAAGTACAAGTTCTTCAGGCAAATGGGAAATTGCTCATGATATTATATTAAGTGATAAAAGGCAGAGCACATGTGGTCTCAGGTTTAGGTGGCATAGACTTTTTTTAAAAACTAGAAAAATCAAAACGCTAAGGGTAGTTCTGTCTCTGTGCTGGGACTTTCAATTTTCTACAAGAAACAGTCTTGAGGGGTGGAAGGGGGCGGGCCCTGGCAGGCATTAACTCATGGTTGAAGAATCAAAGGGCAGGAGGACTTCCACTCTACAGCCTGTAGCTTTGAGGTTTTCCTTTAAAGAAACAGACAGCCAGAGGGGTTTTCAAAACTGCTACGTCAGCTCTGTCAAAGGACAAAGACCTGAACTGGAAGCAGCAAAGGTGCAAACTGCCAGCAGGATCCAGTCACCCCATAAAAATGAGGACGAGGAAAGCAGTATCACCCGCCTGTCACCATCTGCTGTCTTAGCCATCTCAGTATTTTACAAGGTTGCTTCTCCTAAGTGCAGTACCTTTTGATGGTTTCATAATGGGCCTAACGTGACCTGGGAAATGTAATCCAAATAAATATAAAGGGAAATGTAATCCAAATAAATATAAAGTAACTAATGATATTACTAATAAATAAACCACAGGAAATGGGCTTTGCTCTTCTCTAGAAGACAAAAGGATACATTACAAATATTAATGAATTCTTAATCCAAAAAGGCTTGCACTAGCCACAGAATTACTTTAATGCATACTGGTCTTTGTTTTCATTACCAGAAAATGTATTCTCCATTTAGAAAAAAACAAATTTGAAATACTTGGAAAACTGCATCTTTTGACTAGCAGTAAAATATATATATACAGACATACACAAATGGAGCAAGGTAGTAGGAGAGTAAATAAAAATAATAATTAGCAATGTAAGTGGAATTTAAGAAATTCAATCATGTGAAATGCAGGGTATTGCAAGGTTAATGAAACAGTCTCTAGCCCAGAGTTCCCATGGCCCGAGAGCTAATCACCAATTGTATCAGTATACAAACTTTCATTAATACAGGCTGTGTGAGTGCCTATTACAAGGTTTACAGTATTTAACCTTCCCTAGAGTAATAGTGTTGGTCCTTGACAGTTTCTTTATTAGCATCAATTAGTGAAGAGTTTCTATCAAAACAAGTAAAACAGGTTTAGGTTTGTTCTTTATTTTTAAGCACCTTCTTAAAAGAGAGAGAGAAAGGGGTCTTGTCTTAAAAATGAGGAAAAAAATCATCAAGGTAATTTCAGAGCTGGGTCTGAAAAATGACAAGATCCCACTTGGGTGGAGGGAGCAGAAGGGGAGGGTTCCATACCTATGGGCACTGCACGCACAACACACCGTATTTACTGTATCATTAGCAACTACAGTGCTGCCTTTTTAAATAGATGGCTATCTTTAAATCCAGTGCATGTTCACAACCATATGTCAGCTATTTTTGCAGGCAGGTAGAACATTAGGGCTCTGGATAGTTTTCCAACAATGTGGCTTAAACAGAAATCTGTGTGTGTTAGACTCTGTGGGGATAATATCGTTCGTTTGTCTGATGTATTCTGAGTCACTGCCATTTTCGAGCAAGCTTCTCTGCCCTTAACTGTAAAATTATGAAGACAATAAAGCCAAAGTGCCACCATGAGACACTAATTTGCTGCACAAATTTGGGCACGACACAAGCACTGCTCCTTTAGAGAAGAACCTGCTTAGTGTATTTAATTACCATTTGGGTCAAAAGCATCTAATATGGAGAATGTTTTCTTCAACCCATTAAAAGGTTGAATGCTGCAGAACTACTTCCTTCTATTCATAAGGACTTGAAAGGAATTTAGCAAAAGTGAATTTTCTTCCTACAAGAAATACAAACCCTAGCACATATTCTCAAAACCAAAGATGTGTAATTTGGCCAGGCCACCGGAACAAGGCCTTGTCAGGGACTTCCCTGCAGGTGTGCCTCCCTGCGGCCTCTGAGGCCCTCCTGGACAGCCACACCTCCCAGGCTTCTCATGCCACTCAGTGCTACCTAACGTCCCACTAAAATGCCACTAAGTAAACAAACATATAAATTGTAACTATGTGAGGTGATGGATGTATTAACTAACCTTATTACTGTAATCATTTTTCAATGCATGCATACATAAAATTATGTATACATGTGTCAATTGTATCTCAATAAAGCTGAAAAAAACAAATACATTTGCCCTCTCAAAACATTCAGCAGGGCCCTGGCCAGGTAGAGCTCAGTCGGTTAGAGCGTCTTCCTCTTCCTGATATGCCAAGGTTGCAGGCTCCATTCCCTGGTCAGGGTACATATAAGAATCAATCAATGAATGCTTAAGTAGGTGGAACGACAAATCAATGTTTCTCTTTCTCTCTCCCTTCCTCTCTCTAAAATCAGTTTTTAAAAAGGATTATTAAAGTCCTACTAAAACAAACACTGAATTTCTTATTAATAATGCAATTATATCTGAAATGAAGTATTCCCTAGTCTATCAAGTGTGTGCCTGTCCTAAGACTCAGGCACAAGTCGGCTGCGGCAGGACAGGCTATCGGAGGGAAAACTGTGCTGACAATTTCTCTGCCCTTGGCATTATCCTCGACTGAGGTCCTCTAAGAGTCCACATGGGTTCAGAATTCTCTCTACTACCAATTTTACATAGATGAGGTACACTTAGAGAAGACACAGTGCCTGTCCTCAACCATCAGACATGGAAAGGACACAAATGCCCTAATTCAAGAAAAAAGGACAAATGATGTGGGTGATAAAAGAAAAAGTAAAATGCTGTGCACAATTTAATAGAAAGGGAGTAATTCCAATGGTGCAGCCAGCAAGAAAGGCAGCGTGGAAACTATGATTTAAAAGAAGAGAAGAAATCTATCAAGAGATACAACAGTACGGGGCGGGCAAAGAGAAGGAAAAATGGACATTCCAGGAATTTCCCCAAATACTGATAAACAGGTCAAATTCCTTGGCACAGGAAACCGCTTCATACCAAAAAGGTTTCCAAGTTCCAGCTAATGACTGAACTGTAAACAATGTTGTCCAAAATAAGAAAGTTCTAGAACAATAAAATACTTTGGACACTCACCAATTCAAAGCACCATTTCTAACATTCAAAGCCTTAAGAGTTGCCCTCTTAATTTTACCTCCCCACAAACTGCAAATATCCACTAAATGGTTCGGAAATAATGCATATGACAATAAGGAATACAAATATTGAAGAAACCAGAAAAACAGACACCAATTTTACCATCCCGGGGCACATTTTAGACTAATTCCAAACATGTTTACATGTAAATGAGAAGGATCTGCACTGACCATATAATTAATAAGGCCCAAACTGTCCTACCCTCAGTAAAAACAAACAACTCAGCAAACTTAAAAGAAGATCAAAGAACTTTTGGGACTCCAGGTATCAGCATTTTGGAAAGGCTTTCCTCACATCTGATTCATAACCTCTCCAAGCCAAGTAATGTTGGGTTTTTATAGGTAATGTTAAGTATAAAAACGTGGTAAGCATGAAGAAAGTGAAAAATATTTTAAACAAGTAATCTGTAAGTCCCTTTCCCCTGACACTTTAGAAGTCTGAATTTTCACAATTAAATTTTATAGCTGTGCAAATGCTGGATGATGTAATAAAGAAAAACACATCAGTATATAACACTAGGTAGTAATAACTGTTATCAGATTACACTTGCCAAAATCCAAAGCCTTTAAATGTACCACAATGTGTTCGGATTAAAGTGTTTCCTAATTCATGGCAAGAAAATAACAAAAGCAATGGTTAATATTAATACTGATAACAAGATCTTGAATCTTTGTAAAAGTCTAGCCTGAGTAAGCAATATACTTTATATCCAGGTTGAACCCAGGAAATACATCTATTCAAATCAGAATTTTTAAAAGGATTTCTTTCTAAATTACTGTAACAAAGGAAAAACCTGCTCCCAGATTTCTTGTAAGCCCTAGTTTTGCTTAATTTCAATCCATGTATTCCTACGCATATAACCAAGACCACTGGCGTGGGTACTGTTTTGTGCACTGTTTACCTGGGGACTTTTTGTTTGATCTCGATTGCACCGGGTGAGACTGTCGAGGCAGCAGAGGTGATGAGGGCAAAGACATGGAGACGCCTTTGGCCAAGCTCACTCTGTAGGTGTCCTCTGCTATAGGAAGACTGCTCACAGAAAAGTCGCCCGCAGGGCCAGGGGGCAGGGCTGCGGGGGAAGCGTCTGGACCAAAGTCACTTCCTGGAGTGGAGAAAGCAAACCTTAGGTTAGACCATCCATTGCAGGTAGAAGTGAACTTAATTCCTAAGAACTACATTTTTAGAATGTAATTCCCATATATCATATTGTGTGATGAATTTTTTTAACAATTTCTTTTCTCTACCACTCTTAGGACTTTTGACCCTGTGAAGGAAAAGTCAAGTTTCCCCATTCAAGCATCAATAAACTGCCTCAAACCCTTTTGACACCATCCCACCAGGTCTAGTTTCATTCATAACAATGAGTCCAGAAAGCCACTAATCTGAGATTAGACCAAGATCAAGTATGAATGACTCGTAAGCAGCTTTGGTTTCTAAAGGAGGGAGTTACTGACCTTATCAGTAGAACAGATTCAAACACCAAGATCCATTCCACAACTTCTCTCCAATAAAAATGACCGAGGGAGGGTCTAGCCCACTTCAACGCTCCTCCCCAGCCCCACACATCTCCTCTCATCTGATGCATTTCACACTTCCCATGGCACAAGGTGGACCATCCTGTTACTCAACCAGCCCACACGCTTCGTCATGAGACTGGAACCACGGTTAACTCAGCATTCAGACCCTACATGAACCTAAGACAAAAAAGCTTACTATTACAAAATTACACATTCTGGAATAAACAGATCCAAAGAAAAAATACAAAGGATGTGATTACAGTGTAGAGCATATACATAGAAGGGAATATGTAGGCTAGGACCAGACTCACTGAAAAAAAAAAAAAAAATACAGCCAATTCAATCCTCAAGTACTCAGGTCAGGGCCCTCCTCCTATTGTTCCCCTCAGACCCATCACCTCCTCCCCTGCCCCCTGCTGAGAGGCAACTAAGGAAGTGCAAGCAGAGGAGGTAAATCATTATCCTGGTAATTAAAAACATCTTCAAGCTTTAAATAATGTACCACAGAACTGGAAAGCTTTAGACAGTTTTCCACAAGCAAAGTAGCCTCACAGATGCTGACCAAGCAATCCTTACCATGCCTTCCAGACTCTGAAAACTCAAGGCCTGGATTTGAACTGAAGGCTGTCTAGCCAGGCAGGAATTCACTTTCAGCAGATCTATGCGCACAAGGCTCAAAGGGGATACGACCCAAAACATCCAGTTCAAACTGCATCCTTGTGCTTGTTTTTTGTGTTTGGAGGGATGGTGAAGTAGGGAGTCACCCCACCAGACCTGGAGGGGGTGGTATTTAAAAGAGGCAAACAAGCTGATACCTGACTTTCAACGGCAACTCAAAATCACCATAGCTGTGAGCAGAAAAGCCACGGTACCAGAATGGGTAAGCTGGCAACATCAGTAAGGTAATTTGTCTCACCTGGGCCAGCTATGCTTGAAAGGGTTTTAATAAACTTGGAAACTGAAGACTTATCACTAAATGACGAAATGACTGATATTTGAAGAAAAAATAACAAGAATTACCAGGAATTTTCAAAAAACAAGAACATTCATGCAAATGCCCAAGACAAATACTAGTCTGTCCCTGACGGAAGGAAGCGGGCAGGAGTTACGGGAGCTCCTCACCTCCTAAGTCCACGCAAACAGCAATGTCCCCACCCAGGTCCTCCTCCAGCCCTCCACCCTGCTTCCTGAGCCTGCACTGTGAGATACCGCTACCTCCAATTCCCAGGACCCTGGAGCTAGTCCTATGCCACCACAGTCAAGCCTGAAACCTTTTAAAAAACACCTCCTGAGATCTTGAGGAAGGGCATCATCTTTCCAGCTGCCTCCCCTTCAACTGTCTGGCAATGAAATGGATCTTACGGCAGAGCTGGGGGTGCACCATAAGGCCTACTCCCACTGGGGCCGAATGCCCACTACAGCGAGGAGACTTATGAAAGTAGAAGGGACAGTAGTTTTCTCTGGGCCAATACCTGGCTCTCATGACCAGCCCCTACACCACACTGGTGTCGCCTCAGGAAAACAGGTGCTGCGCTTACAAGAATGGCACCTGGTCACCACATTCCTGGATGTTTAGCAAGAAACACTAGGAGAGAGACAAGCTGTTGGAAAGCACTAAGGCCTCAGCCCACAACCTCAGGGGGTACACACACAGGATGTGGGGTGGGACCCTGAAGAGGGGACAGTGGTTTTCCCTGTGGTTTGAAGAGAACAACCTTGCCCTGGGGCTGCCCTTATGCTGCCTAAATCACCAACATGAGTGGCTGGCGGCTGTGGGACAGCCGGCCGGACAGGCAGGGGCAGGCGCTGTGACAAGGCACTGTCTTTCCTACTCACACGTGGGTATTTCTGGCCTGTACCCCAAAAAATAAATAAATAAATAAAAGACAACCCAGGTTTCAAGTTCCTTCATTTGGAATAAGGACACAAAATTAGGGAGAAATGCATGTACTGTGACAAATACCAGAAACAAAGAGTAAAGCCTGTTACTAAGAAAGGTTTTATTTTCTTAAATATTTAGTATTCTCTAATGTGACAGTGGAGAAATTGGGGATTCAAGGGTAAAAGAGAATTAGAGTTGCCTAATTACAAAATCTGTCCATAAACTTTGTTTATATTAAGTAAAACAAATATTTTCGTTAACTGCAAGTCTGGTGGGGGTGAATTTCCAAATTCACCGTAACCGCAAGGACCTTCAGCCTTCTGAGCAGCTGCGCTCCGGCACTTTGATTCTATGTGGTTGGCAATAAAAGGGGACTTAGAGATGGGGTTTGGGGAGGAAAGGTTTCTATTTCAAGTTGACATCGCACTACAGCATCAGTGCCAAACATGTTGTGTTGGGTTTGTTTTGAAAACACATTTAAAGATCCCTAACTTCCAGCTTCCTTTTGTTATGAAGGGAGACAAGTTTTATGTATGAACAGGTGGCACAAAGCACATGGAGTGATCCAGTGGCTGAGAAGCTACAGACAGAAGCTGTCGAGTCTGGTGCTTTAACTGCACAAGGGCAAAGCGGTTCAGGTCAAAGTCAGTCCAAGAGGCATCACAAAGATGCAGACGACGCCAGTGGCAGAAAGCGAAATCTCTCAGGGGCATCCACCAGAGCTATACAATATTGGTCTGGGCAACATAACACCAGAACTTCTCTGGCTGATTTAACATTCCTCAGCAAATGCTGAAAGAGGTTTAAGAAGAATTAAAAACATTTCACGGCCACGACCAGCATGGCTGGCATATTTCTTTGAGCCCTGAATAGATGCTTTTCTCTTAACTGTGATCTGTACTGTTCCCACCTCAGTCAAGTGATGGGAAGCACACCTCCTGCCGCAGCGGCGGCAGAAAGGCCCAGGCCGGGGAGGGCCGTGCGTCCTCTCCAGGGCAGGGGAGCCGGGAAATCAACCACGAATGCCTTACCAGGCCTTCTGTTCCACTGGCAGGTGTTTCCCATGGAACATTTACACACCATAGCCTTTCACATCCAACCAACATGCTTTTAATCTCAGACAGCACCTAGTCCAAGCACATTGTTTCCAAGACAGAAAGCTAGAGCACAGGGGTTAACCATGAAGAGGTCAGAACTTCCCCCCAAAGTCTCCCCAGCTGGCCAGCTCAGGCTCTACCATGCTCACTATTCTACATGATTAAGCACTTTACTTTGTGGGGGAGGAAGGGGGTCCCCCAAACAGACATGCTTTTAAATGAGTTAAATCTGTAAGAGGTCAATACACATTTGCTATACGGGTCATACATGGTCTCTGTCATTTATTTACATACACACACACACACATATATACACCTTTTCTCATTTTAAAATCATCAGTTTTCCAAGTTCCAAAAATAAAAGACTAGAAAGGGCACAGGGCATAAGATTCGTCCTGTTTGTAATAAATGAGTAAATACATACACACAAAAGAACTATAAATCCAAAACAGTTTGCAAAGATAATGGAATTATCAAAGGGGATAAAGTCATCCAATTGGATGTTTTAAATAGGCAGAAATGGTTTTTGATAATAGTTCTTTATTTTATTATTTTTTTCACTACTACAGACTGTGGAAAGGGATTTAAATGCATAATGAAAGAAAATGCGTCTGGAAGATAATGCATGTTTAAAGGCGGCTATGCAGAATGGCAAGCAAAGTCCAGCATCACAGATTAAAGTACAGAGAGTGCAGGATTAGAGAAGGCTTTTTTTTTTTTTTTTTAAAGGAGGGCAATGGAGCCAGGGAGATGAAAGTAAAAGCACATTTCAAGAAAGACTAGACCTGAGAAAGGCAAGGGTGAGCTCAGACATTCAGGTAAATAGGTCTGCAGATGCAGGAAATAAGATTTCCATTTATTGTTCCGTTGAAGTGGCTAGGTGGAGGAGGGGGGGAATGAAAGCTCAGAATAGAAAGAGAAAAGATGTTCTGTTTATCGAGTTCCAGAAAATGGGGCTTGGGTGAGACACTTAACTAGGGCATTAAATGTGTTAGGCATCTTTTATGCAGTCCCTGCCTGGAGTGCACTAATGTTTCTTAAACATATTTTCCAGCATAAGGTTTTATAACCATATAACTCATATATATTTACAGAAACCTAGAAAATTGGAAAAGATTTCCTCCCACAAGATCCAATATCATTTTTTGGAGGCTTCAGAAGGCACTCTCGGAAACTGAAAGCACTTTAAACCATTTTACATCTTATAGGATCTTCCCAAGTATCCAGCCAGACTGATGGTTAATGTGCATTTTCAAAAAGAAAGATTAATGTACCCGAGAAAGCAATTTTCCAAAACATTATTCGCACATTTGTGACTAATTCTCAAACAATATCACTAACAGGCAACAAAGCAGTGAACCCCCAGAATACAGAAAAACTTGGTCAATAGGATATGCTCAGACTTTTGTCTTCAAAACTCTACCAAGTGGATTCTAAATAGAAATCAATAAGTGCTATCTTCACAGTTTATTCTTAATACTCAACGGTTAAAGGACCAAATGTACTTTATCCTCAAACAGATGATGAGTAAACAGACTGGCTTTTCTTCTCTCATTGTCAGAGTTCTCCCCTGAAGCCATGTCAACATGTAGAGTTGCTGAGTTTT